GGCAGGGGGTGTTCCTCTCGTTATGACACTGTTATTAGGTGTCATGTCACTTATAAGCGGGCTTCCCATTGCCCACACCCGTCTCTTTTATAAAATACTAGGCGAATGTCCACGCGTTGAGCATAAACATCTATATAATTGAAATCTTTATAAATATATGTTTTTTTTTAATATATCAATAAAGTTGTTGTTAAATTTGATATAATAATTTGTATACTAAATTGATATAATGCATTGATTATTTTGAATTATATGGTGATATATACATCTATTATAACTGTATAATCTCAACCGTTTGAATGACTTCTACCCGTCAGCTACTCATGAATAAAACTAAATATAATATATGGTTTAATGTTATTTATAGTTGTTGTTATTTTTAATTAATTTTTAAAATTTATTTGTTTAACATTTTAATTTCTATCATTATAATTATTTAAAACATTAAACATTGTTTTTTGATTTTAAAGGTATCAATATAATAATTTATATAGACTTACTTTTAACTATTGTTATTGTAAGTTAATTTAAGCTACTTATTTGAAAACTTTTAACAATTATAAAACTATCTTTATGAAATATTTTAGTTAAATTGAGATTATAATTTAGTTTTGCATTTATCACTATAATTTATTAGTTTTAACTATTCACTGGGTTGTTTAAGTGGAACTAAAATTTATATTTAAGTTGATACTATAATGTTATATTTAAATTAACAATTTAAGTATTTTATTCAAACTGTTAAAAAGTTGTAGCTTTAAACTGGTAATGGTTTACATACAACAACATATTAAATATAATAAATTAAGTATAATACGTTAAAAACTTAAAGACATAACTTTATAAGTAGAAGTAAAGTTATTATTTTAATATTGAAATTTAGTTTATTTATGATTATACTTTAAATTCGATATTTATTTAACCTTATTAACCAGCTTATAATCATTATTAGAAAGACACTACAATTTATCACTTTTAACTATTTACAAAATATTCTTTGGGTTTTTTAAGTTAAACTAAAATTTATATTTAAGTTGATCATGTAATGTTATATTTAAATTTATAATTTAAGTATTTTATACAAATTGCTCAAAAATTGTAGTTTTAAAATGATAATGATTTACATCTAACAATATACTAAAACTAATAAATTAAGTATAATATGTTAAAAGTTAAAAAACATAACATTATATGTAGAAGTAAAAATATTCTTTTAATATTGAAATTTAGTTTATATATGATTACATTTTAGTTTTGATATTTATTTAATCGTATTAACTAACTTATAATCATTATTAGAAAGAAATTGAAAAGTCATGGACTTTTAAATGAATGTGGTGAAAGGAAAAATATTGCATTTATATATATACTATGCGTAACCTCGCGCGTTGCGCAAGAATGCATTTAAGAAGTTCAAATAATTATGGGAAAAAATAGAAATATGTTGAAATTTACATTTTTAGTCATGTTTTTAGGTATTAACCGAATTATCAAATAACATAAAAATTCATCAACTTATATTTTGATACTATCTAATATAGTCTATATCTTATAAATTTTACTTTTAATTTTATAATATCCAATATATATTATAAGTTTTTGTATAACATTCATATAATATACTTTTCTTATGTCTGATAATATCTTTTGGATAAAATAAGACATACGTTGTTTTGAATGAGCTATTAATAAACACTATTTAACTAATAAACTTTGTATTACACTATTTATATTAAACCAAAACATCCAAGGTTTCATATATGAACTTGAAAATATTAAACATTGAAATTAAGAATGAAGTCATATGAAATATATCATTATACATAAATATCATCAAGAGTTTTAAAATAAGTCGATTAGTAAATATGATATTTAACTTTAATTATATATTTTGCAAAGCGTATGTTTGACTTTATGTTGGTGCATCGAGAATCATCTTCCTTAATGTGTACCTAAAAAATTAAGGTGAATAGGAATATAAAATAGATATTACTAAGCATTAATATAAATAATTAAAAAACGTATATGGATCTCCTACCATCGGTTAAAGACAACATATCTCTCTAGTGGTATCGATTCATATGTAAAATTGAAGTAGTCATTCTATGTACACCTTGTTTTCTAATTACATTAACAAATATGAGTAACCAAACATAAAAATGTTATCTTTATGTAGGAAAAATATTTTAGTTAACTAACAAATTAAATAATATAAGTTTAAGAGTTAGGAGTTTCAAAACATTAATATTTTTATTAATAAATCAATTAAGTAACACATGTTAAAATTTTTACAATCATTATTAAAAAGCATTTGGAATATTAGATTTTAAATGAATTTTGGTTGAAGTATTTTGACATCTATTATAATATATGTATATATATATATATATATATATATAGAGAGAGAGAGAGAGAGGGAGAGAGATGGAAATTATAACATATGCATGAGTTTTAATTAATTATCTTTTTGAAACGGTACAATTACAAAACAAAAAAAAAACATATTTAAAACATTTAATTAAGTATTTTCAGCATCACCCTATATAACATATGATCAATATGTTAACGATTAAACCACAATATATAACTATTGTATTACAATAATCCAAAAACGAAGAAAATATAAAGACGAATTAGTATAACAAACTTACAAATTAAAAGCACTAATATAATAGTATATCTCCAAAAGTGGTAATAAGACCTCAAACTAACACAAAAACCTTTAAGTTTGTTTTCTTTTTAAAATTTATATATGATTTGTATGCATGTCTTCCCAAAAGATTGGCCTTTTTATAGTAAACTTTTCACTAAATGCTAATTAAACATAATATAAGTTATAAAACTTTTGAGTGTTAAATCATAATTAAGAAAACTTTTGAGTTGCATTAGTTTAAAAAAGGGGTTTCAAATGGATGTAGTTTGAGAAAGTTAAAAAATAGGGTTTCAAATGCATGAGATTCAAGAGAAAATGCTAGATTTATAAGTATGTATGATACAGAGATTAATTTTGGCTCATAAAATTCAATTTCAATTACTTTAAGTGTAAATATCGTATAATTTAATTTATTTGGTAGATAAACAGTTTTATTTGATTACATGTTAAAAAATAGATTCTATTTTTTTATTAAATCATTATGTTAGACAAATGTAAATTCCAATTCAATGCCCTCTTTGTCGGTGAATGGATCAACTCCAATTTCTCGAACTTGGCTAGAATTCTCTGTTGCTTTCATGTCGTCTCCGTCTCCATGCTAATTTCAACAAGTCTAGAGTCTTTGGTTTAGGGGTGGAAGACAACGAGATTTCCAGTTGTGCCAGAATCCTTGGATGTGAAACTGCCACTTTCCCTTTTATTTATCTTGGTGTTCCTGTGGGGGCCAACATGGCTCATAAACGCAGTTGGGCTTCGGTTATGAATCGAATTAGTGGCAGACTTTCTAACTAGAAATCAAAAAATTTATCCTTTGGTGGCAGATTAATTTTAGTCAAATCAGTCCTTGGGAGCATGCCCATGTATTACTTTTCTTTGTTCAAAGCTCCGGCTTCCATCTTGGAGAACATTGAAAAAATTAGACATCGTTTTCTTTGGGGAGGATGTGAGGAAAGAAACAAAATTCACTGGGTAAAATGGGATATTGTCCTAGCTAGTAAAGAGTGAGGTGGCCTCAGTGTTGGTTCTATGAGGAGTATCAATATTGCTTTACTCTTCAAATGGTTCTGGAGAATAAAGTCAGATAGCACAATACTTTGGAGTCGGGCTATTTGCGTTATTCATAACTCCTTTTCGAAACCGCTATCTAATCTTTCTAAGAAGTCTTTTCCAGGCGTTTGGTAATTATGCAAGATGTTGAAGCTCTAGGCATCAATCCTTTTAAGATTCTCAAGTGTTCGGTGGGCTCTGGTACTAACACTCTCTTTTGGCATGACTATTGGCTGGGAGATGATCCTCTTGCTTCTAAATTCCCTCACATGTTGGCCCTTGATGTGAAAAAAATCTTGTTTTGTTTCTGAGAGAATTTCCGTAAATGGCTGTTGCTGGAAATGGAAAAAAAAGGTCGAGGCTCCCTTGTGAGATCGAGGAGTGGGACAAATTTCAATATTATTTCTGTAATTGGTCTGTCTCTAATTCCCCCGACAGGTGGACTTCTACCTTGGCTACTGATGGCAGTTTTTATGTCAATAATTTAAGATGTATTATTGATTCTAAAATCACATGTGCTGTTGATAATCCAATCATCTGGACTAATGAGGTCCCCCCCCCCCCCCCCCCCCCCGCAAAGTAATTGGTTTTACTTGGCGCGCATGTATGGATCGCATTCCTTCTGCGGTGGCCCTTTCTCTCAGAGGAGTCTCCATTCCCACCTCCTGTAACTTTTGCTCTAATGGACTCGATTCTACAAATCACATTTTGATTCGCTGCTCGTTCGCTACTGAGGTGTTTCAATGGACGTTAAAATGGTGTAATATTCCATGGCAGACTTTTGATTCGGTGAAAGACCTGGTGGGTTTGGCGGCTAATTGGGGTAGATGTCCAAAGAAGAGAAGAATCTTGATTGCCATTGTGTAATCAAGATTGGGTGAACTTTAGGGGCAATTTGGGTAGATTTATTTGGTCGGATTCGCTTTGTTGTCCTTTTAAAACTGTGTAATCTTGTTTTGTTTTCTTTTTGCTCCGCCTGTCTCTTATAGGCGTGTGCTTGTTCAGTTTTGTATGTTGCTTTTTTCTAAATCCCCTTTCAAAAAAAAAAAATAGTAATAATTTTTTAGAAATTTTGCTGCCCCTCCTTTTTACTTTCTTTGACTAATAGGTATTGCTTTCTCATTAGAAAAAGCCTCCAATATTGAAACTATTTCAACGCATCCACTGTTTTCTAAAATGAGTCTTCTGGTTGGTAAACCGGACCCACCAATATTGAAAATAAATACCAACGCATCCACTGCTTTTTAAAACAACTTTTTTTTGGTCGTAAACCCGAATTTTCTCTCCTTTTCAACGAGGTATGTCATTCTCCTTCGCTCCATTGCCTTTATCTTACCCTGAAGAGATACAACATGACCTTTCCCCGTTTATACTCATCCATAAAAATGGTCGTATTGAACGGCTAGTCGGAGAAGAGATCACCCCTCCATCAACCGATCACACCACCGGAATTCGCTCCAAAGATGTCCAAATCTCACCGGAAACAGGCCTCTCCGCTAGGATCTACTTGCCAGGAACTATTATCTCCCAAGAACATAAACTCCCTGTCCTTATTTACTTCCACGGTGGTGGTTTCCTTTTCGGAACAGCCTTCAGTACTATGTTCCAGCCCTTCCATAACAGGCTTGCTTTGGAAGCACAAACCATCATCGTTTCTGTTGATTACAGAAGAGCCCCCGAACATCTCTATCCAACTCAATATGATGATTCTTGGGAAGCCATCAAATGGGTTGCTTCTCATGCAAATAGAAACGGTTCGGAGCCATGGCTTAATGACTATGCTGATTTTGAACGTCTGTTCTTTGGTGGGGAAAGTGCTGGTGGAAACATAGCTCACCAAATGGGGATGAGGATTGGATTAGGAAAAGACTTGGATGCTTTTGGTGATCGAGTGAAGCTTTCTGGGATTGTCCTGATCGATCCACACTTCTGGGGAGAAACTCTAATTGGTGGTGAGGTGAATGCTGATGTTAAGGAAATAAATATCTTGGAAAAACTGTGGCGGGTGATGAACCCATCGTTAAGCAGTTTGGATGATCCGTTAATAAACCCGGAAAAAGACCCGAATCTTTCGAAGTTAGGGTGTCGAAGGGTACTTGTTTCTGTGGCTGAGAAAGATTTGTTGAGGGATAGAGGATGGTATTATCATGATGTTCTGGGGAATAGTGGATGGAACGGGCGAGTTGATATAATTGAAGCCAAAGGAGAGGGACATGTCTTCCATTTGTATCCACCTTTTCGTGAAAACGCTTTAACTTTGTTCAAGACTCTGTTTTCTTTCATCAATGGGGACAAGTAAATGTGCAGATAAGTGATTATAAATGCTTTTAAATGTATTTAATGCTAAGTAAGTACAACGTATTGAATAAAGTTCACATTGTGTGAATAATTGTTTGTCTTTTTCTAGGTTTCGTTTTTCAATGGACTTTGTATATGCTCAAAATTTCTCTAATAGTGTTGGGATCCCAACGAAATGAAAATGCCCACCCCCAACAAACATACGCACACATGTATGTGTGTAGACGCAAATGAGGATTTTAATATTATGAAACATAAGAACTCCAACACAATATATATCAAAAAATTCTAAGTAATGAAAATTGAGTTTTGTAATACAGGAAAAAGGAAGAGCATAAAGCACCAACAAGCCTTTGACATAACAATATGTTGTGATTCCCTTCATCTATTAGTCCATGTGTTATTCCCATCACTCACCATTTTAGTGGTAGGTCTAACATCATCACCACACACAATCACTAAAAGGTTGGTATACCCACCATTATAACCCTCTTATTTTTTATTTTTAAATAATATATATATATATATATATATATATATATATATATTGTAGAAAGAGATAGAAAAAGTTAGAGAAAAATACAGTAAGAAATAAATCTATTGTATGTGGGCTTCTGTGGTTTGTAGTTTGTACCACAATTCACCATGACTATTAGCTACCACTAAATAGTAGGATGATGTTAACTACTGTGTACCCTTTAACATAATTTTTACACACCTACAAAACTTTTTAAGCTTTTATTTTCAAGTTTTTTAAAATGTATCCATCATAGCATCCAAGGCAATATAGATTAATATCTAAGTTGAGAATGATTACATGCTATTTGATTTTTTTAGAACCAACAAATATTATTAACGGACCACCACCTAGCAAGGTACTAGGCAGGCCCAGAAAATGGAAGTTACAGTTGAGTTTGAATTACACACAATTCACAGGGAAAATACACCAATCAGCCCATTTATAATGACAATCTACTCTCCTGTGTCTAAGTCAGGTGAGTACAAGAGACTTAACACTACTAAAGATCTGGAAATGGGAAATTTGAATGCTCCTAAACGCCCATTCACATCTTGTTTTCCATAATAACCACACTACACCATAACAAACACAAATTAGGTTGTTTCTCCTTTTCCGACATCTCCCCCAAGCGTTTACAAAACCGATAAATTCCCCAATGGTTTGGAATTGGGGTTTCGGAATATCGCACCATTTAAATACCAGATCCCAAACTATGCACCAGATCAGAATGTGCTCCGTATTTTCATCCTCAAGATGGTAATGGGAGCATGATGCGTCTATAACTGTGACTCCTCTCTTTTTCAATGCCGGGTTGGTTGGGATACGTCCCATATTAGCTTTACAAATAAATGTATTGACCTTTATAGGGATATCATGAATCCACGGGATAATTACTTCATTGTTTGCCGGCTCTATATTATCAATTTTTAATCTGATCGTCTCTATGTGAAAGGTGCCATCATCTGATAAGGGGCAGTTACATGTGTCTGGTTCTGGAGATGGCCGGTGTTCACCAATGGCATCATACAACATCCGAAGGCTATGAATCTGTTCATCAGTTGCAGGGGTTGATCTCCATTCTTAAGTATAGCCCTGCTCTTGCACTCTTTGACTAACACTACAAGCTTTACGTCTTTCAAGCTGATATAGTTCTGGGAATTGATCCTTTAATGGCTCACCATCACACCAATCATCCATCCAGAAGAGAGTGTCATTACCATTATTCACTTTTGTCTTTAGAATATATCAAAAGCTTATCCCAACTTTAGTTAGTTCATTCGTCCCCTCCGCAATATTGTTCCACACACCTGCAATAGTTCTTTTTGATAAGACATTAGCAGGTTTGTTTTGCAGATTATGAATACCCATAATTACACGACTCCATAAAGCTGTTTTGTTTGTTTTTAATGCCCACCACCATCTGACAATCATTGATATGTTGAAGGCCCTGAGTGATCCTAGACCAAGTCCCCCTCTAACCTTTGGAGCAACGATCTTTTCCCACAATACCCAAGCAATTTTGTACTTGTTATCACCCCCGTCCCATAAGAACTGCCTACGAATCTTTTCAAGAAGGTCAATAACTCCCACCGGGGCCACGAATATAGAGAAATAATACGACGGTAGGCTGCCAAGGACTGTTTTGGCTAAGGTTAATCTCCTTTTAAAGGAAAGTGCTTTCGATTTCCAAGGTGAGAGTTTAGAGTAAAAATGATCAGTTATAGGCTTCCGATGCTTCTTTAACTTCATGTTTGGGCCTACCGACACCCCCAAGTATGTGAAGGGCAACGACGCTGGTTGACAGCCCAAAGGTGCATCCCATTGAGAAACCTCAGACATGTCAACTCCGACACCAAATACCCTAGATTTGTTAAAGTTTACCTTTAATCCTGATGCCACCTGAAAGCATCTTAACACCCTTGCTAAATTTTTTATGCTGCTTTGACTCCATTCACCCACAAAATGGCGTCATCAACATAGAGCAAGTGAGAGATTGACATTTCTGAATGTGGCATTTTATACCCTAAAAAAGACCCTTCTGACAAGCTACTTTCATTGCAAAGTTGAGTCCCTCCATAGCAATTATAAATAAGAATGGTGAGAGTGGGTCACCCTGCCTTACACCTTTTTCCATTCCAAATTCATCTGTTGGAGATCCATTTGTTAGTACTGAGAGTCTAGCTGATTGAAGGCATCCCTTGATCCACATACGCCATTTATCTCCATATCCCATTTGAATAAGGATCAATTCAAGGTACTCCCAATTAACATAGTCGAAAGCTTTTTCTAGATCCACCTTGAATAGTAGAATCTGTTTTACCACCCTCTTGGCCCAAACACATAGCTCATTTAAGATTAGCAGTCCATCGAGGATATCATGTCCCTTCACGAAAGTCATTTAGGTATCTTCAATGTTCTTGCCAATCACCATATTGAGTTTGTTGGCTAAGGTCTTGGAGATTATTTTGTATAAAGAGCCAATTAAGCTAATTGGCATGTAATCACCTAGGTGTAACGGATCCTTTATCTTTGGCACAAGCGTGATGAAGGACGAGTTACAACCTCGCTCCAACGTTCCGTATTTCTCAAAATATTGAACAAATTCCATAATATCCCCCTTCAATACATCCGAATATATATTTTTTTATAAAATCAAGGTGAATCCATCTGGGTCGGGTTCCTTATCCCCTCCACAAGCCCAAATAGCTTGTTTAGTTTCTTCAATTGTGAAAGGATCTTCAATTTTTGATTGAGAGGCTGAGTCGAGTATGTTAAATTCACTACTGATAAGTTTTGGCCTAGAAGGCCACCTTTCTTGAAATTTTTTCTGATAGAACGAAAAAAATTCAACTTTAATTGTAGCCACATTTGTGTTCGAAGATCCATTGATAATCAATCCATGAATGTGGTTCTTGCTTTTCTTATTATTTACATACCTGTGGAAAAAACGAGTATTCTCATCTCCATCAACTGTCCATCGAGTTCGAGCCTTTTTTTTAAATCAAGAACATCCAAATTTGAAGCTTGGTTATCCTTTGAACACCAAGTCTCCTCTCCTGTAGTTCCAAATCAGATAACGGTTTAGTTTCAGAAACTATATCTAGATCATGTAACATGCGTTTAAGCTTCAACAGTTCATCCATCTCTTTGGGTAATCCTTTGCTCTCCACTTCTTGATTTCATTTTTTAGGAATCGAAGTTTGGCATCTAGGTATGCGTCCGGATTGCCATATCCCCTGAATTTCTCCCATAACTTCATTTATGATGATCGGGACATATGCATGCTAATGCTAATGATGGAATATAAATTATTAAAGAATGCAATGTTATGCATAATAGTTGTGAATGAAAGATGTGAAAATGCATCCACTTTTGTATGTAATTAACGAACAGAGTAAATTACTGAAATGATCCCTATGGTTTGGTCAAAATTACAGGTTTGGTCCCTAACATTTTTTTTTGCACTCGGATCATCCCAGTGGTTTGATTTTGTTGAATTTTTCATCCCTTACATACATAAAGTTAGGGACCAAACGTGGAATTTTGATCAAACTATAGGGACGAAAAACACATTAAAATCAAACCACAAGGATAATCCGAGTGCAAAAAAAAAGTTAGGGACCAAACGTGTAATTTTAATCAAACTATAAGGATGATTTCCGTAATTTACTCTAACGAATAACAACAATGATTTAATAAATAGTAGATGGGAACATTCTTAGATGGGAAAGGATAGTACCCTTAATTAATCCATGTACGTTGTATCCGAATACATGACAACCTAATAGGTTGAAAGAGGACACATAGATAAAAAAAAACTTAAGCCAATAACGAAGTCTAGTGGTTTTATAAACTATCATTTCGATACATGATCCTTTTGATAGTAGGTGAGCTAATATACTCTGTAAAGTTTATTGATATTATTAGGTTACAACCTGTGGAAACGACGGATAAAAAAGAAAAATAATATTAATAATTAAATATAACTATGAAACATCAAATTTTTATTAAGTTTTAATTAAATATTAAGATATATATTTTGTTTAAACATTTATATATTTATATATATATATATATATATATATATATATATATATATATATATATATATATATATACCTTATGTATGTATAGACATTTAATAAATTTATGATTTTATATAAGGAATAAAAATTTGATAAGAGTGTAAAAAAAGACAATCAATAATGCAAATGATTCTGATATACGAAAAATTAAATATAACAACAATATAATAAAAATAAATAAACACAACATCTAAGAGTTATATCAAGGTAATAAAAGACAATCAATCATGTAATTGACATCGAATTAAAGTCAATAAAATCAAATCCAGAAAACTTGTAACACCGTAAATTTCAAAACAATTTTTTCAAATTTTGTAAAACATAGTTCACTTAATATTCATAAAACAACCATATTTGAACATTCAATCCAAGTAATACAAAAATCCCAAGATCTCAAAATCATAAATCCCATGCGTGTGTACTGATCAAGCCGGCACCTTCCCACGGTCATCACTAGTACCTAAAACAAATAACACCAAACACTGTAAGCACAAAGCTTACTGAGTTCCCCAAATACCACATATAACACATATTAGCCACTCGAGGCTATAACTCTGTGGGTCCGTGCACCCAAACTCTGTGAACCCTAAGGTTCTAACTCTGTAAACATGCACAACATAAATCACAAAGAATAATGCATCGCAGCACATAACATATAAGTATACCATACAAGCACTGTATCACATAACTTTATTTACCTACTCAAGGTAAAGTATAGTGAGAAGACTCACCTGGCGTATCTCGGTAATTCGTAAATCCCTGAAATTACTAGTGCTAGATCTCCCGAGCTATAGTCCTCCTATAACACAACACATCTCTAATTAACACTTTCCCAACTAAGGTTGACTATCCCTTAACAAGTCAACATAGGTCAACACTGATCCATGTTCAATGGTCAACTTTAACCGGACTCGGCGAGTGCACTATAGCGACTCGGCGAGTCTATACGCATACACTGATTTCCCTGGGATCCTCACTTGACACGACGAGTATTCTCCTAACTCGACAAGTTCCTCCTGGCATGAGTTGTGGGGCCTCCACGACTCAACTCGCCGAGTCTCTAGAACAACTCGGCAAGTCCCATCTTGACTCAGTCCACCTGTCAACCCACTCTGACTCTCCCTGAATCACTGAGTCAATCCCTCAACTCGGCAAGACCACTCGCTGAGTGGTGCTGGGCAATCTTCATGCTACTTGCCGAGTCTGTTCTTGGACTCGGCGAGTCCATGCCATGCAACGACTCAAACTCACTCCTGAGGTCAGATCTATTCCACTAACTCATAGATCCAGTCCTTCCAAGCTTATTTATCACGTAAAGCTGCTATCTTGATGTACATACAACATCTATATGACCATATATGATGATTTAGCCCCAAATACCACAACTCAAGGTCATAACCTCCATTGCTCTTCATAAAGCTTGATGAGTGAGGCTCTCTGGAGCTCTATGGATCCAGATCCAAAGCCTCATCACTAGAAAGGGACTATTTGGGCATCAAATCAACCCAACAAAGGCCAAAAGAAACCCTAAATCCAAATATACTTCATAAAACAGAAGATGAGCTGAAATAATACCTTAAGTGCGATGATCTCAGCTTCAAATCCACAATATAGCAATCTCCTTTGCTTCCTCTTGGCTAGGACCTCTTTCTTCTTGCTAAACAACACCACAAAGGTCAAGAATGGCTTCCTTTCTCTCTCAAAACGCTCAAGCACTCTAGGGTTTGTCTCTATGGATTGGTGAGAACAAATGACGGGCATAAGGCCCCTTAAATATGCCTCAAACCCTAGGAATTAGGGTTTCATTGCACAACGTGGACTCGCCGAGTCCACTATTGGACTCACCGAGTCCAGACGCGAACCTGCATCCAAAATCGCGATCCTACTCGGCGAGTTTGAGCTCCAACTCACCGAGTTCACTCACAATTCTCCATAAATACACCAAAAATAATACCTGGAAATTCCGGGCTGTTACAATTCTCCCCCACTAGAACTAGACTTCGCCCTCGAAGTCTCGCTCTGCAAATAAC